CTTTAAATAAAATGAAGGTGGGGAAGGTTGAATGAGGGAACAGATAAGTGAGTTTAGCTGGGTATGTAGCACTAAATAGTGGTAATAATATATGTGTCTGACACAAGATTCCGATTTTGTGTCTAGGAATGTACATGGTTGTGAAATGAGAAAGATGAGAAGGTAACAGTAGTGTATGTATTTATAAAGTGCTCAAGGGAAATGTGTGCCAGTGTGACCTGCAAGTGATAGCGTCTCAAATAATTAATTTTGTATGGAGAATGAATCTGGCAAATGCATGATTAGTGCCTTTTCAGTTTGAATGCACGTAGGAGAGCTGTGCTTGCTTTAGTAGAGAGACTCCTACCGGGTTATTCACCAATGTCAGAATGGGACAAAATCATTTGCTAATGTACAGGGCCATTCAGGCTGCAAAAACTGGACTTCAGCCAGACTGAACGACACTGGACAACTGCAATCTGGACTGAATGAATTAAATCTGGGCTTGGAGTTTTCAATTTAAAAAAAAAATCTGAGCTGTTTTCCCACTGGCTGCACTAGCAAATTAATTATTAAATAATTAATGGTGGGTCAATAAGACTATTCTATTATGGAGGTATTGTACCTAATTATGCCCTCATCTGCCGTATGGCAGTGTTTAAAACTAGTGACTGGGCAGCCATTTGGGAAGGGGCCTGTGAAATAATGGAGGGTAAATAGTCCCTCCCATACCCCAACCCATGCGCATCGGATGGGGACTTTTCTAAATATGACCTACTGTCCCCCTCAGCCCTTATTTTGATAATAAAGGAGGAGGACCTAGTGCCCACCAGGCCCCTACCCATGGACACCAGGTGGGGGCCTAATATTAATAATAAAGGTGGAGGAACTAGTCCCCCTAATGGGTGGTGGGTGGGGGACCTTATTAACTAAAATAGGTGGTGGATATGCCATTGTACACCCCTCCAAATAATACCCACCGGTCTAAAGGAAATCACAGTCCTTATCTACCTCCCTAACCCTAATAATAGTTAGGGGGGCAATAAATCTATCCTATTGCAAATATATATACTTGCCATCAGAAGTTTTTTTACTTCTAATTATTCTGTTCTTGAGACTCAAAAAAGAGCAAATTAAAATCCATAATAACCAACATGGCTAATTAAACTTTAAAAAAAAAAAAAAAATAGATATAAAATAATACATCTTTACCCATGGAGGGCTTTCTGCAGAAGGGGCCTTGATAACAACAAAAGCCCTTATATAATTTCGCAATGTTACCTAAGCTAATGCAAAGCATGGGTTAATTTCCCATGCTTTGCACTATAACCAAGAGCTCTCTTATTGGTTGGCTAGTAAGTCACCCAATCCGAGTGATCGAGAGACGCCAAGTCTCAAGAGAAGTCTCTCCCATGGCAGGTGTGGGCATAGGGAGGTACAATACCTCAACTACAGAAATATGGGAGGATTATGGACCCCCATAAGATTTGAATTTATTATGTATTTATTTTTGAATATGGTGGCGGGATAGCAAGTACTAGCCAGCCACCACATAATTAACCCTTGCAGTACTTGCCACTGGCAATAAATTTATGAAATGCCAATGCGGCAATTTGTTTCATGAATAACCCTACTGGTTATACAGCAGTACTCTCTTTGTAAGGAGGACATGTATTCTGTGGTTCAACAGAATGAAATTATCAGAGTTATTCACTATAGAATTCAAAAAAATTTTAAAGATAATTTTTTTCCAGTTCACTATTTTGGTCTCAAATTTGAAATTCCCATTGTTTTCACTTTGAATTTGCACTTTAGAGAATAACCCTGTGTGTTGTCATTTTAAAAATAGTGGATCTGTTTTGTCTGTTAGAGGGTGTCTATCTATGTCTGTGTGAGATTGAATCTGCTGTGCGTATAACAAGTAATTAATAATGTGGTACAGATATCTATGTGTATGGTAGAATATAGAGAATGAATATGATATGCTTTCAAGGGAAGTTTTGTGTATCATCTAACCAGGTCAAAATTACATAAGGGCCCAATTTTATATGTTAACTTACCTCAACATCCTACAAAACTTTTGTCCTGCAAAATCTGTCACTCTTCGCAATGTAGACACAATTGGTTTCTGGACACAACTGGCCATTTTATATGAAATTATTTATTAGCATGCCATGACCTCTATTTAATATAGTTGGGTAAGCTTTCCAAATGATTTAATATTTTTGGATAAACTTTTAAAATGGTTTAATATTTCTAAGCATATTTTAATCATGTACTATTTTGATATTTTCGTATATATTTAAATATTTTTTATACATTATATATTTTTTGATATTTTAATATATTAAAATAAAATAATTTTAGACTTTTGTTCAAATATATTAAATACTTTTGGAAAACATATTCAACAATATTAAATAGAGCTCATTATTAGGTATTTGACATGTTCCATTCATAATAATAATAATAATCTACTAAATTTGAATTAGCAGAGAAGCATCCTTCTCTTTTTATTTGTTTTAGCATATCATTTGAATAATACAATCTATTTAACATTTTTTCTACATATATATTTTACATATTTAAAAATCACAGTTACAAAAAAAGATAAATTTTCACTAGGAGTTGCTATTTTTTAAGAAACCTTAGATTTTTACCAACCAACTAGCAAATGATAGCCTCATATCACTGGGTCATCATGTCTATAGATGAGCTTTAATGCTCGAAACCTATTATTTCAAAAAAGAAACATCTTTACCTCCCTTCCAAGCATTTCCAGTGGACACCAATGGAGAAAAAACTCACAAGTTACTTTTTTCTTTTTTTTCCAGATAAAGAAGAGTAACAGAAAATGCCAATATATTTCATCATTTTAGCTGAGCTTCTTCATTCTGTTCCTCCTTCCACAAAGACAAGTCTCTTGGACACAAAGGCATTACAAAGCTGACTAATCAATGCATCCACTGGTTCCTTCAAAGCTAATGACTAGTTTTATTTAATTTTATTTTGTGTGTGTTTTTAAAGCTCTCCTTTTTTTAAATAAAACATAACTCTTCTTTTTACACAACATACAAAATAAATAGAACTTTAGCATTTTTTCGTTGTGTGAAGCCAGGTCTAAGGCAATCAGTGGGGTAACGTATTGGACTTGATAATAGAAAGTATCCTAAATACTACACTACAGCAGATATTTTGGGAAATGTATTTCCCATGTTTAAAAAGGCAAAGGTGCATGTCCTCAAGTGCTTGTGTGAGTCAAACTAAAGGATAGTTATCTTGCACTAAAAGTGAATTGCACACATCAAAGGCTTTCAACCAGGATTTGACAATTATTTTAACCCCTTAAGGACCAAGCTTCTGGAATAAAAGGGAATTATGACATGTCACACATGTCATGTGTCCTTAAGGGGTTAAAGGGTAAAACACTGACTTCTTTAATGTTTTGCTAGGGTTTCATCATCTGCTAGAGTTTATCACTAATGTTTTTTTTTTAATATAATTTTTTCATATGTGTTTAGTAAAAAAAAAAAATGCTCAGTAATATCTCACGTAGTGTCTCCTTTAATGTGGTTAACTGCAAAAGACTCGCTCATACACAGGTTAGATGTTCTCATTTCAAGGTCTTCCATGAACATTGGTTTCTTAAGGCACGGCATGCTAAAAATATGCTGACACTGCTGCATTCACACTTATATTGTTGTTAATGCACTGTAAACTAACCTAATGAAGGACACAAAAAAGTGGTTTGTATTCCAACGAACATAAAAGACATTGTATACTTAGCTTTAGCATCTATTATTTTTATAAAGACTTTTCAAAATGTATATCACAAATTATTGTATCATACAAATTTTTTGCAGGAAATGGGATTATTTAATTGGGAGGTATTGCCTTTTCACTACCCTCTAGCACACAATATTAGTCAATTAAACAGAGTATTGTGCTGGTGGAGAAAATGATTGCCTGGATTAAAATTGGTATTATGAGAAAGATCTTAATTGGAGCCTGTTTATTAAATGTTGTAGGTGGAAATTTAAATTATATCATGTCTTCAAGAATAGTTCTTGTCACATTATTGTGTTTATATTGTGTGTCTAAAAATGTGCCTAGGAACTAGATACTCATCATCAAAGCTGTGTTTTTTTTCCAAAGAGTACAAATTTTCGCAGTTGTCATAAAATATATATTGAGAAAAGGGGCTGATAATTAAAATGGAATAGAGGGAGTAGAATGAAGTTACATTTACTAATTAAAAACGAACAAAATGTAATGAACAAGAAAAGTCTTGGCCATCATTTTTAGACAGAGGAAAACTGTCATATTTTTTTTTTATAAAAGATGTATAAAAGTGTATTTTTTTTTTGCTTACACATAATGTCAAATCAATTTTCAGTGCATCTGTTATATACCCTTTTGCTTTGGAACATCTATTTTTAGGACCTTTTTCGGTCAGGCACACCACTTATCCTTCAAGACCAGCCACAATGTAAACAACTAAATTTACTCCTATTTTTTAAGATACTGAGTATTTGCCTATGATGCTAGGATTTATGAATGTGCACGAGCTCTAACTTATCTTATGATCGTAGATCAGATAAGAGGGTCATGACCAAAGAGGGCTTAAAGATAGACTTCCATGGAAGGACAGTATGCTCTGATATGTATTTAAAATATATATTTACTTATATATATATATATATATATATATATATATGCATTAAACATGTATATACTGAGAAGCTATAATATTTAAAATGCTTTATTTTAAATAATAATAAAATTATGACAGTTTTCCTTTCCTTGCTGAAATAAAATAAAGCTTTTTAGGCAAGACTGTATATAAACTATTGTATTCAAAATAATAATTAAGAATTGGTCCTTTTTTTATTTTACTTATTTTTTGTTCAAGGGTAGGAAATTTCAGACAAGCATATTTTCCCTGAAATTGTTAATTTCAAAACACGTGTTACTCCCTAACAAATAAAAATAATATATATTACAGCTTTCAGGAATGGTCAGTTGAATAAATTATACTGATAGCACTTCTAAATTTCCTTAAAGGGGATACTTCAAATAGTCATGCCAAAATACTTGGGAATCCAAATATCTAAATGAAAAAGCAGTCAGTAAGTACATACAAATATTTGAAAGACATTGAATCTTAAATTGTATGTCATCAATCAAAACTCTGTAATTGCCTTCTATGAAAAGGTTGTGAAATAGATTAGCAAAGTTAACAAACCCCTCAAACATAATGACACATAATATTCTGGACCCACATTACCAATTTGAACTAAAATATGCCCCATGTTTCTAAGGATTTTAGGCCAAAGAAAATATGTAGGGCACCCAGACAACATTTGTAAACAAATAGGTTAGACCTTTTCTTGTATGAAAATCTAGATTGATGAATCATGCACCAACAGCTATTTATGAAAAAAATATGGTTTAAATTAGTGAAATATTGGCTATATATGTCAGTTTGGAAGCTCTGGGATATTTTACTCTCTTATTATAGGTGTGTGTATAGACTCCTTGGTAATTAGGACCCTACATATAAAATAATCAATAAAAAACAACTTATTTCTCAAGCCAACAAAAAAAAAAGGTCTTTTAAATTAAAAAAGTAATAATTACTACTCTTCCAAACATGGGAAGACCTGAAAAGAGAATTAGAAATGATTTTATTGGCCACATATCTTCATTCAAAGATCAGAAAATAAACGCAAAGTTTCACCATATGGCTGTTCCGCCCTACTAAAGCTAGTATACAAGAAGAACAGAAAAAATAACCTCTGTATAAATTATATTTTTATCGGATTACCATTCAGTAGTAAGGTAGATTTTTATCTCTTTTGTGGTTTACACTAAGCCTAATAATTGATACAGAGGTTATTTTTTCGGTTGTATATAAAATGTATCATTAGAAGCAATCTCAATCATATTATGGAATATTTTGTTAGGGGCTTCACAAGGTTTTACATAGTCACTTTATTTTCTGATCTTCGAATAAAGATATATATATCTAATATAATTGCTTCTAATTCCCTTTTCCAGTATTCTCATATTCGGAAGAACAGTTATTCAAGTAGCCATTAGAAGAAATGTAATGTACAAGTTTCATTTTATTGTTATTTTTATAGGTGCAAAACTCTAAGACAAGTGAGTTTGGCTATCACAGATTTACTGTGCTGATATGCCCACAATATTGTACCATTTTATAGCTTTGCATTTAGATGTTAATTTATCAAGATAACTTGAATATATGCTTTGGCCTATCAGCTCTCACCATTACATGTTATATGTGCATTTAATAGATTTTTTTATTTTTCCCTATAGCTTAATAAGCAGTAGATGGATGGTTTTGTCACAAGCGTGTAAACTAACAAAAATTATATATACTTTAATAATTATTTTAAGGAGTATTATTTTGTTGTTGTTGGATTTTATACATCTAAAACCAATTTAGCTTTTCAGCTAATAATGTTAGTATATTTTTATGTAAAAACTCATTAATTAAACCCAAACACTTTAATTAAGTAGAAACAATATTATTCAGTAATATCAGTTCAAAGAACTATGTCACAATGATCATATTATTTAAATTAGATTTTCTACTAGTAAAAATATTCATTAGTTTATTATACTATTTTAGTATCTTTATTTTCCTTTGGAAATGTATGTTTAAAATATTTGAACCCTTATGCCCTCTGTTTAATAAGCTTTGGAAATGATTCAGTGCTGTTAGAAAAAATGACTTATTTATAGACGTCACCGTTAAAGTCAATGAGAATATTTGTAATCATAGTTTTTCTGGCATTATGGAATAATTTGGAAATCTTATTAAATCAAGGCTTATACTTCCATACTACCTACCAACTAAAGAAATGAGTATATTTCTAAAATTTTAAATATTGTACATTCATGGTGAACAATTAATAACAGAACAGCTCAATAGTTTGCTACAATTTTAATAACGATAAGACAATGGAAGGATTTTGAAATGAAGGATAATTTTCGAAGTTGAGAATAAAAGTCCAACATACTTGGGACGATGAAGATATTGTGAGATGCTACAAGAGAACTGCAGGAAACCTGAGAAGATAAGAAGAAGGGGTGGAGTAAAGGAGGGCAATGGGGGATTACTCCAATTAGTCATGCTGATAGGGAAAGAGGTTACAGGAGACAGTGATTTCACCAGTGTGATCTGAGCCGAGAAATTAATTCCAACATCATTACAAGAGGTGGTACTATTGGAGTTAGCAGTGTAAGGTATGTTTTCCATGATCCCAGATGTCTTGAGCATTGGTAACACATTCACTGTAAGTGAAAATATTTATCAATCCAATTTAATAGAAGTAAGGTCTTGGCCAAATTTGCATGCGGAAATTGGCGTGGTAGTATAATGGAAATGAGAAGGAGTAAAGCAGCCCCCAGAAATCTGGTCAATGAACTGATGACTATCAATATGTGTTCTGGGCTGAACTCTCATGGCAAATATGGAAAATTGGACCAAGAGAGGCAATGCAACACCAATAGCCCATGGGCTTTGCAGAGACTAATACTATTGTGTCATAAACTTAAAAGAAGATTGTTGCATTTTGGAGCTGATTGAGACTTGTAAATGTAAAAATAATGTTTTCCTCCAATGTTTTGGGTGAGTTACATTCCCAGCTCTCTTTCTCATAATAAGCTGCCGTATAAAAGTTGACACTAAAATAGTGAGAAAAGGAATTGTTGCAAATATACAGTGGGGCCCTTTGTATAAGTAGAGGTTCAATGGCTGATTTGAGATAATAGATAAATAGGATGAACCAGCTCTCCACATCAAATACACTGGGTGCCAGCCTGCGATACTCCTCACCATGGTCACCAGTAGCAAAAAAGTAAATAAGTGAACATCAACTCCAGATTACCTAATGAAAGAATATTCATCCAAGTGGACCCAGCTTGGGCAAGAGTTATTTGAATTAATGTCAGAACTGGAAGTAGCCAAATTCATGATTGAAAAAGTTTATAATATCAAGGTGAGATAATGTGGGTACATTTTGCTCATCCTACAGATGACAGTTCTTTAGGATATTGGTCTTTCATGAAGTTTGTGGGAAAGAGCAGTCTAGATAATAAGACAGTGGGGGCATTGGTGAAGAAACAGAATACAATGTGTGTCAACGCTAATATTGATCACCAAAGCCTCAATGTCAGTGTGATAATTGGTTGGAATTGTGTTATTGAATAAAAGGGTTTCAATTGTTAGAAAGATGCCAGGGTAATTTGGGAGAAGGAATTCATAGTTGTGGTCAACACTTTACCTAGGTGTTCTATACTACTAACTATGCAGTAGGCCTCAAAGTGAATAGTCTGAGAGCTCATTTACCTTCTACCAAGTTAAGAGAGCATAATAAATATTTCTTCTCCTCCCAAAATACTCAACGAGGAAGATGTAAAATTATGGTCCTACTATAACTGTGCACATCTGAAAACCATATAGCAGTCTTGGATATTAATCTCTAGGACATTTAACCTTTATGCTTGCTCAGTCTTAATAAGGTAGGTAAATTCTTTATCCTTGGAATCACTTAGAGGGGTATTGAGATGGATTCCCACGTATTTAAGGCTAGAAGAGGTCCAACAAAAGGAAAGTCTTCTTGAAGCAGTTTTAAATCATAATCAGAGTGAGAATCTCAAATGTAGTCAATTTAATTTTAAAATTAAAAGAGAAAGCCATAAGTCTCATTTCCTAGAGAAGAGGGGGATGTTAAAAGTCACATTTATGCAGTATGAAGAACATGTCATCAGCGAATGATGCTATTCACAATAATGTTTTTTTCACAATAATGTTCATTTTGTAAAATATAACTTTTCAATTACACATGTAGTTATGTTAATAAGGCTGAAAAATTATTAATCTGCTAAGGTTGATCCCGATAGCCTCCACTATTTAATGCATTTGAGAGATGAAAAAGTTGTCTCAGAGCACCTAGCTGCAAAATGTTGCTATTGACAATATTTAATTTGGTACCTAATAAATAAATCATACTTTATCTGTGTATCCCAAATGTCTGAATAGCAATGAGGTTATCTATAGAGGATCTGTTTTATGTATATGTGTGTAATACATTTTTGTTTTCTGCATTTCCTGTTTATTTTTTACAATTCAATTAATCAACACCATTATGTGTTAGAGGCTTCCAGAGTTGTCAAATTTATATGTAAAATTTAGTTTTTTTTGCTTTTCTCACTGGCTGACATAGCTGATATTTTAGTCAAACATACTTACTTGAAGAACCCATCTAGTAATGGAGGCTAAGCTCAGATTATGTTTGCTTATAGAATACAATAAAATATTTTTAGAACATCTAAAAGATATGCACATTTTTTGTCTTGCAATATTACATGAACTGCAATGCATGCAGGGCTCACTAAAAGTTAGGAAGAAGCATTTCCCTAAAATATTTAGTATTATCAAGAGACCTCAAAACGGTCCCTTAGTTGGGGACTTCAAATAAGACAACTGGTACAATACTTGTATAATATTTTCTACTATACATTTTAAAGACAAACAAACCTTCAAATCAGTGATGGAATACAATTACTGAAGTAAACCGTATCAGAGTTAGAAAGTGTTAATTGTCAGGAATTTAACATGAATTCAATTCAATTCACTATTTAGTATATGGTCCTCATACGAAAACATGCATGCATTTAATTACACATTTTTTTCATTTGGTGTATATCTAAAAACAGATTTCAAAAGCTGTAGGTCTCTTGTCTGAAGCCTTTGCAAGCTTTCTCCTTCTTTCCGAGCCCAGACTTTCACAGACTACCTGATGCAACGCAATTGCCTTCCTGTTGATTTTAGCTCCCCTGAGTTAAACAGATTAGGATTTAATGGAACCAGTTGTCTGATTGAAAGCAAAGGGGTGTAAAAGGGACAATTTCTATTGTACTTTTTGTAAATTAAAAAAGGGGACACACTCTTTACACGTAAAGCAATTCAGCGAGCTAATGTGTCCCTTGAATACCTAATTTGGTGTGTATACTGGAGGTTAACATATACATTTTTTGTCAATGTTTATTTTATTGAGCTGCAGGGGCAATATAGTACAGAAAAGAAAAGAGGAGTTTTACCAAATTCGCAGTAGTCCAAAACTCATTTATCCTATATTCTTCTGATTTAACGGTCTACTTTTTCTTTTAGTTGAACAAAAACATGCTATACAGATATGTCTAAGTGTGAAATAAAACATTAAAATTAGTTATAAAAGGTACTCGAGACATGCAATGATATGATCTACCCAACCCTTGCTTCATCCTATAGTAAGAGATGTTATTAATCATACATGTGGGCTAACATAGGCCTTGATTTTTGGATAAGCTTTTCAAATGATTTAATATTTCTGGCTAAATGTGTACAATTATTTTTTTCAAAATAATAAAATCTGAAGAAATATATATTTTATAATACATTAAAATATTAAAATAGTATTCGGAATGTTCAATCATTCTAAAAGGTTATCCAAAAATATCAAATCACTTGAAAATCTTATGCAAAAATATTAAATCAAGGCCATAGTCCCTGATGGTACAAACATTAACAAGCATTAAGAATGCATTAATCTCTCCAAGTATGTTGCCAGGGGATGCTCAATCAACCTAGCATTAATATTGTCATCACCACTTCCCCAAGGGCTGTCTCAGAAATGTGCCCAATCCAAATCTGTGCCTGAAAAATAGTAAAAGGGTACTCAAGTGATTTAAAGTGGTCATGGTGCCTGGATTCTGTATGTGCAGCATTTCACTATAAAACTCTGCATATAAATAGTTTAACCACCTCAAGCTGTTTCATCAGCAAGTCCAGGACAGGATTTATGGGTGGCTAATGTGAATCCTTTGCAAGTCTGGCATCTGACACGAGCAATCGTGGCAAGTCTCCCCTGGTACTGATATTAAGCAGGTAGCAGCTGTTTATCAACAGCATAAGTTTACCAGTAGCGACAGAAAATTACCAGCCTATACCACTGAAAGCCAGTTGTGAAATAGCAGCTAACACCTCCCATTACCTTTTATGCGACCCATTAACCTTTACTTAGTGACTGAATATCAACTGTTTCCAACACTCTATACAACTTGTAGGAAAAATACATGTTAGCTGTATGGCATTACATAAAAATATAAAGCACACAAATTAACCTAAAAGCAATAAAATTAGAGTATAGTCCTAAAACCTAAACCTGGTGGGCCACAATGGCCATGGGCAGAGGTCAGCAGGGGAGATCAGTGGATCTTGACTGCTGACCCATGTAGTGCCTACACTGCCTGAGTGCCGGCACAAGATGTCTCTTTGTCCCTTCATGGGCCAATGTGGAATCAAAGATTTCCCCGAACAGCCCAGTGAACTCTAATGCTGGGGAGGAACAGCTACAATGTCTTCGATCTTCTTCAAGGGGAACTGTCACCCTGAATTCCAGCCAAACAGAGCATTGCCACAAGTTACAACATCAATGCTCTGACACTGTAAGTGCTGGAGGTTGCAAGATATGCAGAGTGGGATCCCGTTTAAGGGAAAGACCGCATACAGGACCACAAGGGATCAGAATGTTCCCCTCTCTGCAAGGTAAGGGAGGAGGGTTATATGTTGTTTTTTTTTTTTTTTTAATTATTAATATTAATAAATACACACAACCTGCCCCATGCACACATCCCCTATAGACACTACTACCCTTATGCACATTCACTATGCCCTTTTTACAACCAGTACACCCCCTATACACAGGGCTCACCCATTATGTACAGACACTGCCCCCCTTATGCACACTCACTATACATGCTCCTATACACACTTTTCCTCCTATACAAAGAAGCAGTTTATCCTCAAAACCCACACACTTACACACTACATCCCCCTGTATACATATACATGGCCTATATTTCCTATTCACACACCACACACTGTACCCCCATACACAAACACTACAATCCCTATATACACACACACACACACACACACTACATCTCATAATATGCACATGCAATGCAACTCCTATAAATATATAAACACACACTGGAGTTGCACACATTCAAGCTTGTCATTATCGTGTCTTGTCCCAACATGCAAATTTAGGAAAGGGAGACAGATAGAACTTATTAACAATGCTGAGAGGTGGCATTATAGAAAAGTGACAATAGTCAAAAAACAAGCCGAGGTCAAAGGATACAGAGAGATAACATGATAAGGATAACAGGATAAAACAAGACAAGAGCCAAGGCGCATAGAGATCAGCATAGTCAAACAAATATAAGAAAACACAGTAAGAACACATGCTTGGGCTATTAGAGACTACGACATGACACAGGTCTCTTAGTGGATTGAGCTTAAAAAACCCTAGCATCTGACATCACCAGAGTGACTCCGAATTGTTATTTATTTGTGATATTGAAATTACGTGTAACTTGCGTCATTTACACATTAGTTGTGGGCATTGCTGTTCATGTCACTATCGATGCAGAACTGTTGCAATGGAATTTATTCAAAGTCCTCAAACCTTGCATATTGATACAGGACTGACAGCAGTTTGGGATTTGTTCTAGCTCCTTTCTATTTTCTATAGTACTAGCACAGCAATGCTAATACAAGTGTATGTGGAGGTCCTCTGTAGGTAATATATTGGAATTACTCCATACCTGGCTATTATCAATGGTTAATACCTTAACTGCTTTGTTACAGACATCTGGAATAAAAAGAAACAGTGGCTTCTACAGGCTTAAATCAGGAACTGCTATATGAGGGGGGGCAAAAATCAACATTTATACATTGGGAGCTACAATGTATGTTTGTACCTTTTATTAGGGTCAAGTGTCTTACATGCTTTAAAGTACTACAATGATTAAGAACTGGAATGACAATATATACTTTTAACAACACTAATAAGTTATATTGTAATCATCATTTGATAGGGCCAAATCCCATTGGTCTAGTGGTGGACCACTAAGCATTTCTTTTTTAGGTATAATATTATGTATATATTTTGCAGTACACTGATTGGAGCATTTTCCTGCAACTTCATTCACAGATCAAGTAAAAAAAAAAGTCCAGGAGGAGCACTGAAAAGATAATATTCAATTAATATTCTAGCAAAAATGTATTAAACATAGAATATATGAATATATAAATATAATTTTCTTCTGCTCCTTCTATTTTCTCCTCTATTGTTCACTTCTCACTTGATCTGTGAATAAAATTTAGTGACGCCCTAGACAGATTTCAGAATCACAAATTGTAACAGACATACTTTACCATTTTGGTTCAGTCCAGAAGGTTCGTGATTTGACCACATTTCAACTTGGAATTTGACTGATCACAACCTAAAACTTATCTCCAAGTCTATTAAATTATGCAACAATATAGCAAAACAATAATACATGATAAATGAAAAATAAATTTATTTCAAAGGGATAATATATATTCGTTCTTTGAGTTTAATCACTTAATAAACCAGGGTACATGACCACAAACCATTGGTGGGTGGTAATTCATCCCTGGCTAGCAGAAATTCAGCCCTAGTGTTCTCTGTACCTTGACTCCCTGTGAGGATATTTCGTGCTGTTTGAAAGCAGTATATTATGCAGTAGAGCCTGCTCGATTAATATCTGCCACTACTTGAAGAGAGGGGATTTATAGGATAAATCTCTGGAGAAATTGTAGAATTTTACATTTCAGGCAGCAGACCTCACCTAACTCCAAGTACTGTGCAGGGAGTAATTCAATTATTTACAAACATCTTGCATAACCACCAAATTGGCTGACAGATTTATATGAGGGAAAGTTTCTTTTTCTTCATCCACTTCAGATGTGCACAAGGGTTAATCACAGTGAAGTGAATAACATTGATCATATTATTGCAATGGCACCTGTCAAGGTGTGGGATATATTAGGCAGCAAGTGAGTAGACAGTTCTTGAATTTCATGTGTTGGAAGCACGAAATGTTGGCAAACAAAAAGATCAGAGTGACAAGGGCCAAATAATGATGGCTAGACAATGAGGTCAATTTGGATCATCTCCAAAATTGCAAGTCTAGTGGGGTGTTACCAGAATGCAGTGGTTAGTATCAACCACAAATAGTGCAATGAAGAACATCTGGTGAACATCAAGGACATGGACACGCAAGGCTTATTGATGAATGTGGGGAGTGATGGCTAGCCTGTCTGGTACAATCTCACAAAAGAGCTACTGTAGCTTAAATTGCTGAAAAGGTTCATGTTGCCCATGATAGAAAAGTGTCAAAATACACAGTACATTGCCATTTGCTGTGTATGGGGCTGTGTATGATGACTCCTATCCACCACCAAAAGTGCCTTCAATGGGGATGTGAAAATCAGAAGTGGACCATGAAGCAATGGAAGAAGCTTGTCTGGTCTGTTGAATCACATTTTCTTTTAGATTAGATGGATGACCAGATGTGCGCATCATTTATCTGTGTAAGAGATAGCAGTAGAATGCAGTATGGGAAGAAGTCAAACTGGTGGAAGCAGTGTTATGCTCTGGGCAATGTTCTGTTGCTAGGAAATATTGGGTCCTGGCATTCATGTGGATGTTTCTTTGACACATGCCACCTATCTAGAGATTGTTACACCACACACACCCCTTTATTGCAAGGAAATCAAAGCAAATATTATAAACAGATATACTGATATATAATCTGATAAATATAGAATCTCAACTTTCTTAAAGTGGCATATTGTAGAGATTGACATATGTTGACAGTAAGAATACAACAAAATAATTGATTTATATAAATAAAAAATAATAAATAATACAAATTAAAAATAAGGTGAGGGATAAAATACAAAAACAAATAATCATAGTAAAGGGGGAAGAGGAAGGGAGCTATAAAAAAATCTATATAGGTCAAAGTACATATTAAGACCAGTAGGTGTTAGAGTTTTTAAGTAAAAAAAAAAAAAACATTTAATTTCACACTGACTAAAAGTTCTGGTAATATTCCACCATGCCATGGTAGAATGCAAGTATCTATTGCATACATTTTAAATAATTAGAGTTTTTGTTGTGTATTAAGAAGTGTTTTAACACTGCATGATTGATAAAAATCCTTGAATTATTTCTACAATGTTATGCTTTTTTTATGCTATTCTTGTTTTAAGACACCTTGTGATCATACCTATGTATTGAAGGCCACAGGGACACTCCAATACGTAAATTATGTTTTTACTATTGCATGTAATTAAGGAGTTAATTTCATTCTCTTTCTTAGTAACATTTGATCTAAATTTAGTTACCGTATAACAAGATTATATGACATGGAAAAGTGCCTATTTGTTCTAATTTTATAATTAGGGTAAGGCCCTGAGACACACCTGGAGTTTCTAACTGGTTTGTTTATTCTGGTCCCTGCATTAGTGTGTGTGTTTATTTTTTTTCATATCGTTTTCTCTTTTGTTTTGTATTTCAAGAGAGTATATCTATCAAGATTCCCAACATTTTCGATTATTGTGTCTAGATTAGTAGCTTCATAGTTTGTTTCAATTAGCTTAGAACCTAAGCTTGGGCTTTAAAAACAGTGTGTTTTGCAGTTTCTTTTTAGTCATAATAACTGACTTTTGGGTGCACTATTCAGCCAAGAGGTATAGTAACAGTAAGGTCAATAAAGGTGTTTGTGTGCACTTTTTTGAAAAAAGTGTGGGTTTTAAAATGTTATTTTAACATAGATATCTAAATATAGAAAATTACTAGAAGTCTTGCTGTAGTTGGAGCTTAATTTGATTCATCTGTTGTTAAGGTTGAAAAAGTTTAAGAATTAAATTATAACTGGCTTTTCAGATTCAAAACAGATCATTTATATAGCGGTGGTAGAAGACCAGGTTTGCACCCCAGCCATGATCACCCCACACAACGGAATTTTCCCAGTTTACCATGAAGAGGTTTGCATAGCTTGGGGCACACCTAGTTCACATAACTGTGCAGGGTTTTTGAAGATAAAACACATTAGAAAACCAGAAATAATTATTGTTTAAAATTAAATGGACACCATCTATAATAAAATGTATTTGAGGGTTAGATATGTTACTTTCTTTTTCTCGTGTATTTTTATGGAACCTATATAATGAGTGATAATGGTGTATAGTGATTGAACATCACTACTAACTAAAATGTAGTCATTTTCCCATGTAATATTATTTACTTTTAAGTAGGATCTATTTTTTTGTACAAACGGCTGAGGGATGATATCAATATATTCAGATAAGTTTGAACGTATAGAATCAATGCCTGGGATAATAGGGCAGGCAGAGGAGTCGGTAGTGTTCTTGTGTATTTTTCATAGAAAATATATGACTTAGATTGTTATAAATTGTATCTTAATGTAAGAGTATTCAGAATTATTTAAAATCTTATTCTTTTTTTCTTCTATTTAAAAGATTTAAAAGAACAAATTTAATGTTTTTTAGTCGGAGGTGATTTAGTGTGAATTTTTTTCATAGACAGAAATCTCATTTAATTGCTTTCTCTCTCTCTCTTTATATATTTATATTTAACATGATGACCAGCCCTCCACTTTTGTCAGTGGACTTATATCTGTCCATCAACCCAATTACATCTCAGAAATCCTGTAACTATTTTTTTTTCTTTTGCAACTTTGTCATATCAAGCTTTCTATTACATGCTTTTTAATGTTAGGCGATCCTTTAAACACTATTCTAATTTTGGATGGTAATAGTTATCTTAATACTGTATCTTTTTTTAAATCTTCCAATGCTTTTAATATTGTTAATGTCTTTTAATGCTTCTAAAGGTTACTCCAACACTTTTTAAGTTTTTAGTTAAAATGTACAATGCCTTATCAGGCATAAGTTATTACCACCCTCTCCACCCCCCAAATTTCTAAAAGAAAGAAATCAAATGATGGATGAAGCTCCACAGGCTGGTTTACATAATCTGTCCGAAGTCACAGTCTCCCTTTCTGCGGTCCAACTTGATTGTACTGTTCTCCTGTCTCAAAGCACATGCACTGAGCCGGGGGGCAAAAGGTTAAGGAGTTAGTAGTGGAGGAAAGATAGAGGGTGGGAGGGGAGAACAAATTTTACCCTTTGAAATATGCTGCCTGCAATGGAAAAGCTGACCACATCTGATGATGAATGTATTTTTTTGCACAGAATTGACATCAGTCAGTCTGGAACAGAGTTCAAGGCTGCCGAAATCAAATATACATGTCGATATTCCTACGAACATGACTTCTTTTCAAATATTATTTATTGAAAACACAATTTTTTTTAAATACATAAAGATGGAAACCTACAAAAACATCACAATGTATGTCAAAATACATACAGTATTTTATATATTCCCAGGTGGGGATTTCTTGTTTTAACCAGTGTCTAGATACAGCAACTTTAGCAGCCATAGTAAGTTTGGTTAATAGGTATCTTTTTTGGAGTGGTATGACAGATAAATTAGAAATAGAACGTTACGACTTGGAAGTCATTCCCTAGGTCATGGCACACCAATTTAACTAGTTCTTCCAAAATCCTACTCCATAAGGGAATTAATAAATGGCAGTCCCACCATATATGCTTTGAGCTACCCATACTTTTGTTACACCTCCAGCATAATGGTGAGACTGTCGATTCAATTTTGTTCATAATTTTGGGAACCAAATGCCATTGGTGGTGTATTTTATAATGAAGTTCAATATGATTCAAACAGTGTAATGCTCGTTTAACCGACAATATAGATTTATACCATTAAATGATATTTACAGGAAATCTCAATCCCAATTTTCCCAAGCCTTAGGTTTTTGATCCTTATGTTCTAACCTCAACATTTCATAAGAGAAGGCAGTTGTCATACATTTAAAATCCTTCCTAAATAGTGTGTTTATTTTTTTGTTTATGATGTCAGTGTCATTTAAAATATGACTTCCTATATAGTTTTTTTAATTTAAGGCAAGTAAAAATCTCTTTTGAAGATATATTGTAAATATGCTGTAATTGTATAAAAAGCCTTATCTTATTGTGAACTATAATATCTAAAATTGTTGAAATATAAACAATGAGCCAATTCTTTAGATTCAAGTCAGGTGTATTATATTCGATTGTAGAAATAGAACTACCTTTAGATATTTTATTTAGAATGTTGGACTTCTTTCTATATTTAAACCAATTGTAATATAAATCTCTTAAATAGATATTTCCAATAGAAGTTAGGAACTTTTAGTACTTGCTCTTTCATCTAGCCAAATTAAACTAGAAAGGTCCTTCATGTCAGGTTTTTCATCAGGTCAGACAAGAAACTTATGCTGGGGTAAACTTTATGTTCTTTATTTTGAACTTTAGAAATTATTTGACAAGAAAATAATAAGAATAGCAGAACTTAAGGAAAAAGGAAACAATACAGACAAAAGGAGATAAAAGGACCTATAAGTTATAGGTAAATAAGGAAGGATAACAGAAATATTGGTTTAGGCAATATGCCCTAAGCAGGTTGTCAGGTTGTAAGAGATTCATAGAAACAGAACCTATAAATTAAATTATAGGTAAGTAAGAAGGCAAGCAGGTTATGAGGAGACAGGTTATAGACGAGTAATAGAAGAAGAACCTATAAATGAAATTATAGGTAAGAATGAAGTAGAACCTATAAATTAAATTATAGGTGAGTTGGAAGGAGAACTTATAAATTAAATTATAGGTGAGTAAGAAGAAGAACCTATAAACAAATTATAGGTGAATATGAAAGAAAGGTTACAGAAATAAGTTAGATAATATGCCCCAGACAGGTAACAAGATAAGAGAAAAGCTTAGATGAGATATTATTGGAAAATAAATAGAGGGAAAACCTATAAGAGAAATTATAGGTTATTAACAGGATGTTATATACAACTAGTCTGAACTAAACAACAAAATAAGGAATTAAGTAATATAGATAAGTTTGACACTTAGTAGGTCAGTTATTTAGGCTTGGAAGTTGCACAGCAGGGTTTTATATAGATGATTGAAATAATAAGGAGTATTTTTAATATCCAGGTTAGTTCAATAGTATAGAAATAAAGCAACAATAAATCACAGTTCAGTATTTAAATAAAGCTGGTAGGAACAGAAGATAAGGATGTCGAGGTTGGTTACATAGTTCTCGGTAAGTTGTAGGAACGAAGCAATAATGAAACAAAGTCCAGTATGGATAAAAAGCTGGTAGAAATAGAAGATAAAGTTTTCTTCAAGCGTATTGAAAAATAAATAGTATCTAAGTTGGTAAAAATAGTTTTCGGTAAGTGAGGCAAGTTGAAAGAATGAATTAGGATGGTTCAGAATATAGCAGGATCTCAGAGTAGGAGCCAAGGTCAGAAGTCTTGTCCACTTCAGGGCACAAACCTCAATCAATATGATATAATTGGATGGTTTATAATTTAAAGAATCATGGAATGAAAAGAGTGTTTTTTCCTCCTCTATCTCCTTCTCTCTATCTATAGAACATAATTGTTAAATGAATACTCCCTTTCATCGATCCTTTGATTACCGGCTCTATAGTCCGATTTTCGGAATCATCATAGAGATGATGATAGTTTCGACTTTTTTTTACAGTCCTCCCACTAGTGATTTTTGGGATATGCGCTATTGGGATGATAGAATCTTTTAGGTACCAATTTTCAGAGTTTTCTCTGAGAAGGGTTTTAGAACCCACGAATGTGTGTTTTTTTTTCTCTTTTATATTATAAGTTTTTTTTTGTTATGCTCTTGTCGTTGGGATGTTTGAGAGGAGGGGTGGGACTGTGCAGGGAAGAAATAAATGGTTAAGTTTGCAACTTTGAATGTGAGGGGATTAAATTCCCCTCACAAAAGATCTATTCTCATCCAATTATAAAAAATAAAAAAAAGATATTTGTGCTATACAAGAGACACATTGGAAGAGTCTAGATACTTTTTTTCATAACTCTAAGGACTTCCTTTGGATTATTACATCTTCATTACAAGACAAAAGGAAATGTGGGGTTGCACTTCTCTTTTCAAGGAACATAGATTTGTGTATAAAACATTCTGAACAAGATACGGAAGGGAGATACATAATAACGATATGTATGATAAACAATATTCTTTATACAATAATCAATACCTAGTCAACAAATGATGCACCAATGAAATATATAGCTAGATTTTGGGAAAGGTTGAATAAGATAAAACAGGGACAAATCATCTGGATGGGTGACTTCAGTTGTGTAATGGAACCTAAGATGGACAAACAGACAATACAAAATAGACAAATAGATAGAAGTGTGTATGCACAGGCATCTAGATTTTGTTCTTTCGCCCAGAAGAACTTACTATATGATGCCTGACGTATATTCCATACTAAAGAATGAGACTACACAAGTTTCTCTAAAACCTATCTGGCTTATTTGAGAATCGATTATATCTTGACAGACTATATAAATGCCATCCAAAGAGTCAAAAAAATGGATATTGAAGAGATCACGTGGTTAGATCATAATATAATAATTCTGGAATTAAAAGATAAATTTATTAAAAACGTTCAGAATGGAAACTTAAGGAATTTCTATTAAAAGCTAAATAAAATAGAGAGTATATTAAAAAAAAAATATTAATCTCTATTTTAAAGAAAATATATCTAAGTATCTATCTACAGCTACAATATGGACTGCCTTGAAATGCGTGACATTTTATAAAACCAGCCTCTCAGACCAAAGAATACAGAGAAAAAAAAACTTTCTGAACTACATATTAAGCTGGACAATTTAACTCGAAGTAATAAAATTAATCCTACAAATAATATGTCAAAACATATTATGATCTAAAGAACACTATTAATGAAAAAATAATTATGGAAAGATCCAAAAAATTAGAGAGACCTAAATCTTATCAATATTATTAGAGCAATAAAGCAGATAAGATGCTAACCAATAAATTGAAAGGTATCCAAAAAGCAAAAACTATATCCAAAATAGTATATAACAATGAGATACTCTTATCCCCTGATAAAATTGCAAAAGCTTTTGAAAACTATTACAGCAATTTATATAGTATAAATTCTAAGGATCCTTTTCAAAACACAGAATCTTATTTTTTAGGGAAGAAATTAAAAAAACTAATCCCTCTACAACTTGAAAAACCTTTTTCTTTGAAAGAAATTGTAGATATTATTGACTATTCAAAACCTAATGAGGCACCAGCACCTGATAGTCTGACAGCTATGTTTTATAAAACATTTAAAGAAGAGGTTGTGCCTTATATGCAGATTGCATTTAATGAATTTGCAGAAACAGGCAGTCTTCCAGAAGATCTTTTAAGAAGAAATATTGTTACCATTTTAAAGCAAGAGAAAAATCTCCAGGATATTAAAAGTTATAGACCCATCTCTCTCTTGAATGAAGACTTAAAGCTGTATGCGGGTATTATGGCTCAAAGACTGAAATTAGTTATATGCAACCTGATACATATAGACCAGGTAGGATCCATACCAGGTCGTTCATCAAGCCATATATGAACATAAAAAAATATATTTGAAACTGCTAAAAGAAAAAGGAACCTGATGCTGCCCCTGTCAATAGACAATGAGAAAGCCTTTGACAGGGACAGCTGGGATTTCTTATAAAACACCCCTAAAAGCTTTTGGTCTTTCAGGCAGAATTCCCCATGCCATAATGGCTCTTTACTCAAACCCCACAGTTAAATTAAACAAGGATTTGTTAGATTAATGATGTGGAAATTAGTCAATAAATTGATTATCTTGCGTATCTGCCCCCGGCCAACTTAAAGAAATAGTGCGTGCACGCTCCTGAAGTAATTCACACCAGACACAAGTTTCGGGTTAATGAAAAACTTGAGGAATCTTTATTCAGGGACGACGACATTGTCAGAGATAACATGAATAATACATCAATAATTGGTTAGATGTTAAGTGGTTCATTTAATGCTCTTCCTACTGGGGGTGATGTCACTGGTATCTTGGAGGTCTCCCCCAGATTCCAGCGCCATCTTGTTAATGAGGGTATTAGTCGATGTTGAAGGGGAAACTCCCTAGCGGCCATTTTAGGTAAATCACATAGAAAGTTTAATAATGCTGATTGCAGTTATGTTGAGTAAATAGGCATTTTACTGATATAAATTGGGTTAATATTTTTGTCCACAACAGTTAGATTAAAAACAAAAGAAGGAAGTTATGTAGAAGAGGATAAAGGTCTAGCTGACTGCCTCAATTAATATTTTTGTTCAGTATGTACAGATGAAAATGAAGGAAAGGGACCTAAGTTAAGAAAAATGATAAATGACTAGAGTTGAGCGAACCTGGAATGGTAACATTACATTTTTTGGAACCCGGACCTGAACACTGACATATCAGTGTATGTTCGGATTGGAGTTCGGTGTTAGGCGATTTAATGGCGCGTTTTGAAAGGCTGCAGGGCAGCCAATCAAGAAGCTCGTGTACCCTTACAAGCCATCACAGCCATGCATACTAATAAAGTTCATGTGAGTGACATGTACAGTTTAGAGGAATAGGCGGTGGTCGCACAGAGGCACCAGCACAGCTTAAGAGGGAGCAGGGTGCAAAAGCGGAGCGGCCGTCCCCTAGCGCTAGTCGGCATGTATTAGCTTTAGAATTACCACAGTTAGCCAAGTAACAGATGAAGCGATCAAAGGAACAATAACTGATTTAATGAGCCATTCGCAGTTTCACTGCAGCGGCTGTGCACGCTTTCGGCGTTCTCACCCTGCTGCTGCTCGCCTGTCTGCGTTGCAGTGTAACTTCGGCGTTGCTGCTCACCGCCTCATATGCGATGTGCACGCAAGGGGGAACTTCACCTTGCACATGCTGGAGAGACTGTGCAAGCAGCAGCAGGCGATAGCAGAGTTTCAGCTGCAGCACGCACGGTCATTCGCTCTGCACCAGACTTGCCCTCCACTAGATCCTCATTAAAGGATTTAAAGTGGACTCATTCCAATTACAGGGCCTGGAAAGAGTCCTGTATTGTTATTTATCGTCACTACCTCCCCGCATAGGGAGTGGGTAATTTGCTCGCCTGCTGCTTTTCTTGGATGTGGTAGACGCTTCTCAGGCTCCATCTCTGGAATCGAACCCTGATTCCCGATTACCCATGGTCACCATGGTAGGTGCAGATAGTAACATCAAAAGTTGATAGGGCAGACATCCGAATGTGTCATCACTGCCACGGTCACTGCCTCCTCAACCTCCTACTCCACATCCACCTCCTCCTCCTAGAGCAGGGTGCAAAAGTGGAGCAGCCATCCACTAGACAGTACTCCTGTTACTGCCCACCGCACCCAGGGACCGAGCACACCAAAGCAAGCTCCAAGGAGTTCCCTGGCATGGCAGTTCAAACGAGGAGAACCCAGTCGATTCCTGTGGCACCTCCCGATAGGCAAACAGGAGCTGGGGCAGGAATCTCTCTCAATCCTTGTGAGTCGCCACAAAGGTATGGAGCATTTGCTTCAACGTACCATTGAAGTGCTCACACAGGCCATTGGTCTGGTAAACTGGGTGCCCTGGTCTGAGAGAATCTCCTGGGGAAAACCCATCCGGTAGAGCACTTGCATCAAGGCTTCTGCCACAGTGTCTGCCTGAATACTGCTGAGGGTATGGAGTTGCGTAGTTCACGATGGTCAGAATGTACTTCTTCCCAGAGGGACTAGGCTTGGCTACGGGACCTATAATATTGACAGCTGCTCGGCCGAACGGATTTTCACTAATAGGTAGGGGATGGGGGGGGGGGGCCCTGTGACAGTCCCTTCTCCTTACCACTCTCTGGAAGACATCTGGCAGTACTGCCTCAGATCCTGAGAGATGCCTGGCCAGAAGAAGCTTTGGGTGAGCCGAGACGCTGTCCGGCTCCTGCCCAAATGCCCTGCCAAGGGGATATCGTGAGCTAGCTTCAGCAGCACATACCAATACTTCTTGGGTCTGGGGCTGGCGGTCTCTCACTAGCCATGTCATTGGGGAGCCCATTGAAAAAGTGCTCTAGCATGACGACCTGGGTGATCTCCGGGAACTTGGCTTGATGGGAGTTGAGCCAGTTCTGGGTGGCCCTTGTGATGCGGCATGCCCACTCCGCATGGGAGTCCTTCTCCCCTTTCTGGGTCTCCCTAAACTTTCGGTGGTATTGCTCCGGGTTGACCGCATACTGGGTCAGGAGGATTTATGTAATAAAGGGATAGTATCTGATCTGCTCTTCTGGTGCAGCCAGGTAAATATCCGCTGCCTTCCCCACTATATTGCTGGCCAGGATGGTGACCCAGTCGCTGGGGTCCACATCTTGGAGTAGGCACTGGCTCTCAAAGTCTTGTAAAAAGTCATCGATGCCTTCTTCTGCTTCATTGAACTCTTTGAAGGCATTGTATGGTAGCTTGTGGGCCAGAGTGTTTGTGCTTCCTGGTAAGGACATAGGCTTGCACCTCAAAAAAGGTCCTGCTGACGATCTCCTCTGAGGGTGGCTCTCGGTAATATGTCAGGTGCCGGTCCACCTCCTTGCGCACTTCCTCCTCATCTCCGGCCCCCGACTGGGGTTCGTTGTCTCACTGCGTGCCTGGTCATTCTCCATGAGCGCAGCAGTCAATTTGGCCTTGTTACACCCACCAGGCGTTATTCCTCTTGCTCCACACAAGTCCTGCAGTGTAGGTCACTTGAGAGCACTGAAGTCCATGTGCGATGTGCTCACAAGTTGGAACTCCACCTTGCACATGCTAGAGAGACTGTGCGAGCAGCACCAGGCAATAGTGGAGTTTCAGCTGCAGCACGGGTCAGTCGCTCTGCGGAACAGCACCACTTCACCACCAATGAGTGGGCCTCAATGCGAGACCTGTGTGCCATGTTGCGCTGTTTCGAGTACTCCACCAACATGGCCAGTGCAGACGACGCCATTCTCAGCCTTACTATCCCGCTTCTATGTCGCCTTGAAAAAAAGTTTTGGGCGATGATGGAAGAGGATGTGGCACAGGAGGAAGAGGGGTCATTCACAAGTGGCTCAGAGGGTGGGTTCCTGCACCAGCATAGGCCAGGTACACAATTGTCCGGCATCTCCACACTGTGCCATGGAAGTGTTCAGCTGTCCATCTCCCAAACACTGGAGAGAAAGAGGAAGTACCCCCCTACCCACCCGCGATCCCTGGCCCTGAATGCCAGCATTTTAAAATTCCTGACCTTTGAAATGCTGTCATTCTGTCTGGTGGAGACTGACAGTTTTAAAAACCTGATGGCGTTATTGGACTGCAAGAAATGCATCGGAGGCTGCAAATGTTTCTTTTTTTATATGTCCCAATATTTTAGAAAAAAAACATAAAAAACAAAAAACAAATAAAAAACAGTGTTGGCTACCTCCTCCACCTCCACCGCTGCTTCCACCTACACTACCACGGTCACCGTCTCCTCAACCTCCTACTCCACATCCACCTCCTCCTCCTAGAGCAGTGTGCAAAAGTTGAGCGGCCGTCCCCTAGACAGTACGCCTGCTACTGCCCATCGCACCCAGTGACCGAGCACACCAAAGCCAGCTCCAAGGAATTCCCTGGCGTGGCAGTTCTTCAGACAATGTGCTGATGACAAGACACTAGTGGTTTGCACGCTGTGCAATCAGAGCCTGAAGCGAGGCATAAACGTTCTAAACTTGAGCACAACCTGCATGACCAATACATGCAAAGCACGAGCTGCAGTGGAGTAAGCACCTCAATAACCAAGAAATGTCTCAGGCTCCTCCTGCTTTCTCTTCTGCTGCGGTCTCGGCCTCTTCCTCCACCTCTGGAGTGACAGTGGCACCTGCTACCCCGCAAACAGAGGATGTGGCAGCAATGGCACCACGTCCGCCACCGTCCCCAAGCATCTCCACACTGTCCCATGGAAGCGTTCAGCTGTCCATCTCCCAAACACTGGAGAGAAAGAGGAAGTACCCCATACCCACCCGTGATCACTGGCCCTGAATGCCAGCATTTCAAAATTCCTGGCCTTTGAAATGCTGTCATTCCGTCTGGTGGAGACGGGCAGTTTTAAAAACCTGATGGCATTATTGGACTGCAAGAAATGCACCGCAGGCCGCAAATTTTTCATTTTTTATATGTCACAATATTTTGGGGGCTACCCCAATTAAAAAGCAAACCAAAAAAAAACTACCACCGCTTCCATCCTACACCACCACGGTCACCGCCTCCTCAACCTATGGGTCACTTAGTATAAACTATGTACACAATAGCAGAGGCTTGTGAAGGCCTTTTCTCCATGCATCAGGAGTTGAGCTCAGTTTGAACAGTGAAAGAGAATACCCTGCACTCCAACCCTCTCTCAAATGGATAATTCTGGTGATCCTCCTGACAACCATGCTTTAGATTTTGATTTATGTTATTCCAAAGCTAAATTCAAAGATTCCATCTAGTGCTATTTTATGGCTCAGCTGTATTTTTAATTTTTATGTGTTTTATGTTATTTTAAGTGATTTCCCTATGCACATTTGTTTGCAGGGCACTTGTCCTACTCTTACCCCCATTTTACTTCCTTTTGCAGCCCTCTAGCCCTTTCCAGGACTTTTTCAGAGGCATTTTAGTGCCCAAAAGTTCAGGTTCCCATTGACTTCAATGGGGTTCGGGTTCAGGTCAAGTTCTAAACTTTTTTACGAAGTTTGGCCGAACTCGGCGAACCCGAACATCCAGGTGTCCGCTCAACTCTATAAATGAGTCATTTGTTACACGTGAGTTTGCAGAGGAAGAGGTTCTATTTCAACTGTCAAATGTAAAGACAAATAAATCAATGGGACCTGATGGAATTCACCCAAAGTTATTAAAAGAGCTTAGTGGTGTACTAGCTAAACCATTAACAGATTTATTTAACCAACCATTGTTAACAGGAGTAGTCCCAGAAGATTGGAAGTTAGCGAATGTTGTGCCCATTCACAAGAAAGGTAAGAAAGAGGAGTCGGGCAACTATAGGCCAGTAAGCCTTACTTCAGAAGTGGGGAAAGTAATGGAAACCATGTTAAAGGATAGGATTGTTGAACATCTAAAAACACATGGATTACAAGATCAGAGACAACATGGGTTTACTTCAGGGAGATCATGCCAAACTAATCTTATTGATTTGTTTGATTGGGTAACTAAAATAATAGATCAGGGTGGTGCAGTAGACATTGCTTACCTAGATTTCAGTAAGGCTTTTGACACTTTTGCACATAGAAGGCTTATCAATAAACTGCAATCTTTAAATATGGATTCCAATATTGCTGAATGGGTAAGGCAGTGGCTGAGTGACAGGCAACATAGGGTTGTAGTCAATGGAGTATATTCATAGTTTGGGCTTGTCACCAGTGGGGTAGCTCAGGGATCTGTACTTGGACCCATTCTCTTTAATATTTTTATTAGTGATATTGCAGAAGGTCTTGATGGTAAGGTATGTATTTTTGATGATGATACTAAGATATGTAACAAGGTTGATATTCTAGGAGGGATAAGCCAAGTGGCAAATGATTTAGGTCAACTAGAAAAATAGTTAGAGTTGTGGCAACTGATATTTAATGTGGATAAGTGCAAGATAATGCATATTGGACGTAAAAACCCAAGGGCAGAGTACAGATTATTTGATAGAGTCCTAACCTCAACATCTGAGTAAAGGAATTTAGGGGTGATTATTTTTGGTGACTTAAAGGTAGGCAGACAATGTAATAGAGCAGCAAGAAATGCTACCAGAATGCTTGGTTGTATAGGGAGAGGTATTAGCAGTAGAAAGAGGGAAGTGCTCATGCCATTGTACAGAACACTGGTGAGACCTCACTTGGAGTATTGTATGCAGTACTGGAGACCGTATCTTCAGAAGGATATTGATACTTTAGAGAGAGTTCAAAGAAGGGCTACTAAACTGGTTCATGGATTGCAGGATAAAACTTACCAGGAAAGGTTAAAGGATCTTAACATGTATAGCTTGGAGGAAAGACAAGACAGGGGGGATATGATAGAAACATTTAAATACATAAAGGGAATTAACACAGTAAAGGAGGAGACCATATTTAAAAGAAGAAAAACTACCACAACAAGAGGACATATTCTTAAATTAGAGGGGCAAAGGGTTAAAAATATTATCAGGAAGTATTACTGTACTGAGAGGGTAGTGGATGCATAGAATAGCCTTCCAGCTGAAGTGGTAGAGGTTAACACAGTAAAGGAGTTTAACCATGCGTGGGATAGGCATAAGGCTATCCAATTATAAGTTAAGGCCGGGAACTAATGAAAGTATTTAGAAAATTGGGCAGACTAGATGGGCCAAATGGTTCTTATGTGCCTTCACAGTCTATGTTTCTATGTTTCTATGACCATTGAGGTACTGGCATAGGAATAATAATAAGAAATAATAACAAAATAAAAGGCTTTAAAGATCAGCTGGAAACAAAAATAATGTTGTATACAGACGATGTACTTATTATGCTAGAGCAGGGATCGGCAACCTTCAGCACTCCAGAGGTTTTCGACTACATCCCCCATAATGCTCTGACACCTATAGTGCTGGCAAAGCATCATGGGAGCTGTAGTCCAAATCATCTGGAGTGCTGGAGGATGGCTATGCCTGTGCTAGAGGATCCAGTAAACTCAATTAATGAATTGATGGAGGTAATACAAGAATATAGTAGATTCTCGGATTATAAATGAAATAATTCTAAAAATACTGTGCTATTTTATTTTTAACCCCATTGATGAAAGCACAGATTATGGAGGACTTTGATTTCTTTTGGTCAAGAGGAAATATTTCATATTTTGGTTTAAAAATCTCAGTAAATCCACAAAATTGGATGGAGATCAATTTGCTCCCTTTGATAAAAGAAATTTATATCAAGCTAAATACTTGGACAAAAAGGGAAATATCTTGGTGGGGTAAGATTAACACTATATAATAATATATTTTGCCTAAACTAACATATATCTTGAGTTTAATCCCAAGCAATATTCCTTTAAGTTGGATAAACCTATTACAGTCTTCATTATATAAATTTATATGGTCAAAAAAAAAGACCTAGGATTAATGCTAAAATATTGTCAAAGAAATTGGAAGATGGAGGACTAGATATTCCATCCTTGACCATATTGGTTCAGGCTACTCTTTTAATCCACGCAATTAGAACTTTTCAAGAGAGATCTCAAGAGGAAAGTTGGTACATACTAGAAACAAAGAAAATGGGCCTTTTCAAGAATAGGTCTTCAATTTTTTGGTTATCTAATCAAGAAATTAAAAGGTATAATTTTTTTAATGAAAGTTTTACATTAAAATATATAACGAAAATTTGGTATGAAATATAACAAAAGATAGATTTAGGAGAATTAAATCATTCTATCTCTAAAAATAGAATTATGAATTGATCTGATACAAGATATTAATCTTTTCTCATGGTCTGAAAAAGGCATCAAAAAGGTTGAAGATTTAATCAATTTGGGCAAAATTGGAACTTCTGTACCTAAAAGTACCTAAAAAGGACAGTAGGCTTTACAAATAATGATTTTTTTTTTTAATTATTTGAAGGTAAGATCATTTATAATGAAAAAACTGAAAGTGACAAACAGAATATGTAAAATACTTGGAACAAATCGTTAATTTAACGGATACTGAAAAAATTATTTCTAAAACCAATCTTTACTATATAAAATGGAAAAGAAATGTTTTATAACAGCTATAACTAAATGGAGTAGAGACTTGGGAAAGTAAATCTCTCTTAAAGAGTGGTGTAACTCAATCTCCATCTAAATAGAAATCTCCATTGTCTGAAGCGAACTGAAGTGCATTATTAGATCCTAAATAGATGGCACTTAGTACCCAAAAGGATCAACAAAAAATGTCCAAATCAATCTTATGAATGTTGGAGGTGTGGGGCAAAAGAAGCAAATTTGTTACATGTGGCCTATCATTAAAGAATTATAACAGGATGTTGGTAGTCATATACAAATTTTTTTAAGTGTACGATACCTCTAAGACCAGATCTGATGCTTTTACATATTAACTTACCTAAAAAAATTATCTGTTAATGGTCCATATTTTGACAGCAGTAGAGTTGATCATAGCCAGGAATTGGAAAAATCGATCAAAACCTGACTGGTGTCTGATCAAATATCAAATATGTCTTCAACCAATTATGGAAAAATATAATGACTCTTAATAATATAATACTCAGAAATACAGTTTTTTTGGATGAATCGATAAGATTACTTAACATGGCATAATGGAAAATAGAAAAACGACTGAAAAAAGTACAAGAATCCTCCCCTCCTCTCTTTTATCCCTCTGATCTTTTTGTTATTTTTGTATTTGTATATGTATTTTTTTGTGATATTATGTGTAAGGTATTTTTAAGGAGTTTCAACACGCACTGAACAACAATAGAGCACAGAAATGTAATATTGCTAAGATTAGCACTATCTGTTAATATATAAAGGCACTACAGATATTTTAAAATTGTGTTTGATATAAACTACTCGTGCACAATAAGCAAAATACAAAAGTAGAATAGGAGAAGTTAGGAGAAGGATATAAGAGGTAAAAGGGAACATTCTTGAGAATATATATTTGAATGTATTAATTATGTATTTATATCTGAAAAAAATTATAAAAAAATTATTTAAAAAAAAAGATTTTTGAATATGACACTTAGCTTTAAACCCCTTAAGGACCAAATTTCTGGAATAAAAGGGAATCATGACATGTCACACATGTCATGTGTCCTTAAGGGGTTAAAAGACTAGATACTACTTTATACCATGGTTCATCAGCTGACTCCGGGGCTTGCCACCTTTGTGGAACATCTTACTGGCTTCGTAGTATTTAATTATACTTGGGATAGCCAGGCCCACTTTATTGGATTTCTTCATTAAATGTAGAGCTGAAATTCAAGTTCTCTTAAGTCCCCAGATATATTTCATAAACAATCTATGTACTTGCTTGAGTTTAATTATAGATATAGAAAGAAGCAACATCCTAAAAACATAAGACCACCTGGGAAGGATATATGATTTGATAATGTTCACTCTTCCTAGCCAGGAAATGCCAGTATTTTTCAATTCTTTTAGTTTTTTTGCACTAGTATCTTTGAATAGGATTTAAAAAAAATTTACATATATTTTAGCAAACTTTTGAGAAAAATAAATCCCCAAATAATTAAAACCATTAGGGGTCTATATAAAAGGGTAGTCCTGTTTAAGAATTTCAGTATCAGCAGGAGTCAGATTAATGGGAATATTTGGGATTTCTCATATTTACTTTATAGTTAGAAACTTCACTGTACCTTTCAATCTCTCAGACAATAGCTGCCAATGAAGCCACAGGATCTGTCAAAGTGAAGATAATATCATCCGCATGTATACTCAACTTATGTTCAGACTCATCTAACCGAACACCCTCACTTTGATAGTTAACTCTTAAATTAGCTGCAAATGGCTCCAGGATCAATACATACAGCAAAGGGGCCAAAGGACAGCCCTGTCTAGTATCAATTTGTATTTTAAACCAATCGGCAGAGATGCCTGGTCCCACCATCTTAGCTGTTGGATCAGAATAAAGGGCCGGTATGGCCAATCGTATCAGGCCATTGAGTACAAATGTTTCCAAAGTCTTAGCCATAAATCACCAACTGACACTGTTGAATGCCTTCTCTGCATCAAGTGACAGGGCCAGCAAGGGAGCGCCAGACTTAACAGAGTTGTCAATTAGATCCAATAATCGATGTGTGATATTAATATCCACAGAGTGTGCCTGTACAAAGCCAATTTGATCTTGGTGTACTAGAAGTGGTATTAGAGGTTTTAATCTATTTGCTATTACTGAAGAATAGATTTTAACATCAGAGTTAATCAAAGATATTGGCCTTTAGTTTGCAGTGGAGGCTGGATCCTTTCCAATTTTTATATTTGGAGAGATAGAGGCCTGAAGTAATTCTATTGGTAGTGATCCTTGCATTCTGATTTCATTAAAAGTATCAGCCAGATGTCGGACCAATTTTTTTTTAATTTCCTCTAAAACAAGTTAGAGAACCCAGATTATCAAGTACATACTCTATTTCTTTTTCAGAGGAATGTACAGTGCCTTGCAAAAGTATTCACCCCTTGGCATTATTCTTGTTTTTTTGCCTCACAACGTGGAAATAACATGGATTGTTTGAGGATTTGCATAATTAAATTTACAGATCATGCCCACAACTTTAAAGGTGTATTTTTTTTTGTGAAGCAAACAACAAATAGGACAAAATAACAGAAAAAGTCAATGTGCATAACTATTCACCCCCCTAAAGTCAATACTTTGTAGAGCCATCTTTTGTGGCAATCACAGCTCCAAGTGGCTTTGGATAAGTCTCTATGAGCCTGCCACATCTTAAAACTGGGATTTTTACCCATTCCTCCTTGCAAGACTGCTCCAGCTCCTTCAAGTTGGATGGTTTGCGCTTGTGAACAGCAATCTTTAAGCCTGACCACAGATTTTCTATTGGATTGAGGTCTGGGCTTTGACTAGGCCATTCCAACACATTTACATGTTTCCCCTTAAATGACTCAAGTGTTGCTTTAGCAGTGTGTTTGTGGTCATTGTCCTGCTGGAAAGTGAACCTCCGTCCTAGCCTCAAATCATGAAAAAAGAGTGGTATAGGTTTTGCTCAAGAATATCCCTACTCTATAGAGCGTACGGCTTATTGTCATCCTATGTACAGATACTCCAGTCTCTGCTGTGGAACTCTGCAGCTCCTCCAGGGTTACCTTAGGTTTCTGTGCTGCCTCTCTGATTAATGCCCTTCTTGCCTGGTCCATGAGTTTTGGTGGGTGGCCGTCTCTTGGCAGGTTTGCTGTTGTGCCATGTTCTTTCCATTTGGTTATAACAGATTTGATGGTGCTCCTGAGGATCATCAAAGATTTGGATATTTTTTATAATCTAACCCTGACTTGTACTTCTTAATAACAATGTCCCTTACTTGTTTGGAGAGTTCCTTGGTCTTCATGGCAGTGTTTGGTTAGTGGTGCCTCTTGCTTAGGTGTTGCAGCCTCTGGGGCCTTTCAAAAAAGGTGTGTATCTGTAATGACAGATCATGTGACACTTATATTGCACACAGGTGGACATCATTTCACTAATTATGTTACTTCTGAAAGTAAAAAGTCAAGGGGGGTGAATACTTTTGCAAGGCACTGTAACTTCATACATACAGTAATTAAAAAAAAAATGTAAACAAAATTGTATAGGCCATAGCAAGATTGATAATATTAACATTAACAAAGCACACTAACTAGCACAGGTAATTTAGTTTAGTAAGAGCTATAACTTATCAAAGTTATAAAAAAAACAATTAGTCACATGATGCCACCATGACTTCTCAAAGCAAAAGTGGCCATTATGGTTGGAGTAGCCCACTAATTCTAATGTTATCTTTATTGTAATCCAGAATAATTATTTCAAGTTTTTTCCATTTAGCAACACTGCTCTCTGCAGTAATACCTCTAGATCACATTGAAGATCTCTATTGTTCTCTGTTCATACTAGTAGCCTTTAAATATTATTATTTGAATATACTACTGCCCGTTTTAATACTTTGCATTATTAAAAGCTAAGTTTTATATGGTATATTCTATAGGACTGTTTTTCCATTTCCATTGTATTTTTTTTTCTTTTTCTTTTTGCAATTCCATAGTAAGTAGGGGGTTATTCCCCCATAACTTTGCATCCTGACATATTCTCCTTGAATTTATTTGTTATTTTGCTAGAGTGTTTAGTAAAACAATAAACAGAGAATCAGACACAGAGAACTACATAAAAACATTTTAGATTTTTTTTTTTACAGATCCACCTCAACTTCTAATAGTATTGTTTACAGTTTGTAATCGTAAGCATTTATAAATTATCAGTTGTCATATGTCAGTTATACCTAAGGTCTCTGAATATTGTTTGATAAGCTTTTCAAAACGTTTAAATCTATTTTTTTAACATATTAAAATATTTAAAAAATCTATCATATTTAAAAATATATATAAAATGATATCTGTTCCTCATAATTCCACTTTATACACTTTATTCAACCACACTTTTTTCCCCCCACCAAAACACTTTTGTTATGTACTTTACAAGTAACGCCAAGCCTCTATAGCAAGCCAGTAATGAACCTCATGCTGATGAGCTGCATTGACAATAAAACAGCTGTCCATGAGTGGTTTACTGGCTTTGCTCCTCTTCCTGAGTTGTGTTTCAAAGCTGTTGTATACAACAGACACATACTCACATACTCTAAGGAATCCATGTATAAAGTAGAATTATGAAGCAAAAACTTTTTTTTGCACTCATTTGCATACATCTTGGAGCGTGAGAGCACTCATTTCCCTTGCACTTGGAGCGTGAGAGCACTGTTAAAGTGAGATTTCAGTGGGAAAAGCAAGTCTTGTGGCTTGACTGGTGTGTGTATTTGTGTTTAGCAATGTTTTAACTATCCACTTACATCAGGTAGAAGGGGTTTTCATCCACACTTTTTCCCCCACCACAAATCGGTTGGTATGTAAAAAAAAAATATATAAAAAAATAATAATATTTTTCATAATGTAAAATTGTTTTAAAAGTTTATTCAAAAATATTAAATAATTTGGAGGGATTTAAAAAAAAATATTAAATAAGGGCCTAATTTAGTTCACAACCAAACATACTGTGGCAAATCATCTCCATGGGTATTACAAACTAATGTATACCTGTTAGCCTCTAGGTAAAATAGTAATAATAATAAAAAAAATTCAATACCAGAGGACCAATCTGTTTCACACAATTATTCTGTAACAGTATTAGATGCCATAGACATATACATTTTACCGTTTTAATTTTTCTAACCAACATATTCAGAAATCTACCAATATACCAATGTATATAACATACAAGTATAGGAAAATACTGAACTGTAAATTAAAACTTTTAATTGACAGTTATTTCATCTGGTTAGGAAACCAGAATTTCTAAAAAAGTTAGAGGCACTAATATTTATTTGGGGTTTCTAGCAACTATGTTAGAATCCAGGTAATGTATTGATTATGGATAATGTCAATACTATAGTTTTATATGAAATAATTTTTAACGTGATTTTGGACAACTAAATAAATCCATATTTTATGCAGAGTTCACTGGTTTTATGAATTAAAATATTTACATCCATGGTCTTAAAGTGTGTTTGCATTTGATTTTTTCATCCTCAATAAAATTAATTAGATCTAGTAAGTCCACTTTCACCCTGTCATAGGAAACTGTGAGGTGAGTACCCCACTGATTAGCATTCATATAGGAAGTAAGTTCCTCCTGTTCTATCTCACTACCATTACAAATGAAAAATGTGTTGTTTATATGATAGAACAACATTTTCTGTTTACTTTTATTGTTCGTCCAGATCAAATTGTCCCCATAAATAAACTGGCTATGGGAGTAAATTTGTTCCCCTTCACATTTCCTGCCGTCTGTAAAGAAAACTTTTAATTATCAAAAATAATTATGTGTTAAAGTAAACATCATTGCCTGTAATAAAAATGAATCTGCACACCATCCAAAGTGCTTTACAACCATTATCATGTTTTTTTTGTTTTACATAAAGATGTTACATTGACTACAACTAGAGCTGGTTGTCAACCCATGAAAAGGTGTTCAAGATATTTAGGGCACTAGTTGCATTTTTAAGATTCATGAGTAAATGTAATGGGAGAGTGTTTAGGTTTGGGAATTAATAGGATTGTTTACTGGTCTACTGTTTGATTCCTTGCTGTTTTCATAAATCTTTGGTGCAAGTACAAGTACAAAACTGGAGTTTTATTAAATTTTACGGTCAAAGAATTTTATTCTGCATTATTTAGAAAGTCTTGTGCTCATTAAAAACCCTAATTTACATTTTCTTTTTCTTTCACTTGTGACAATTCAACATTAAATAATTGAGCAGCAAATATAGTCAAACAAATCCACAAAGAGCCATTATAAAATCAGGACTTACAAATTGTGCACCAATAAAATATGTTCACCCCAATTTTAACCCAGTCAGAGAAGGGGCTGAATACAGACAGGCCTTCCCAGGTCCAGGAGGAAGACAAAGTCTTTTCAAAAAAGAAGGGAGAGATCTGTAAATAAGGAGAAACTAATGAGGAGACAACCAACTTATTATTAGGAGACATAGCTCAAATAATTGCATCAGTTATTCACAACAAGAACAAATATAAATTGAATTGTTGCAACCTCTAATAGGTTTTATGAACTGGAAGAAAAAGGGACAAAACAATGAGGCCCAAATATTCAAAATGGCAAGAAGAGAGAAATGTAGAAAGGAAGTAAGCAGAAATGAAACAAATAGAAAACCATGCTTCCAATAGTCCGACTATTTAGTGGAAGGCAAAAGACAAGTAACAACTTTATTCCATCCACTATACTCAGAAGGTCATAAGAATCAGATGGTACAATACATAGGTTGCAGGGGTGGAAAAAGACAGACAGGTGTGACGAAAGCATCTTCGTCACTAGGATTTGGAGAAGCCTGCTTGCCAGCCTCTTGCCCTGTGACTATGGCCCCTGGGATGTATTGCCCTTTAAAAGCTTTATTTGGGCATATT